ATTTTACCATTTTGAAAGCCTCTATTTTTATTTTCCTCCTGGAGGGATGTCCAGGCTATAGGACCAAAACAGGGCATGTACACAATGTTTGACTGGGGAAAAAATAATGAATCATGTCCCAAATGATGTGAGAGAGCCCTAGAAATAAAAAGGCAGCTGGAGGAGTCCTGACCCTACTCTGGCAGTTGGGGTTTCCCTGGGCTGTGAGCTCTGCCAGCAGGATGTTAACTGTGTTCATAGGAGGCTGGTCCTTCTGCTAAGCCAGCTGGGCAGGGGACTGAAGTGCCCTGAATAGCACAGGGGTGTTTCTCCTCTGGCAACATTGTTCCTGTGCAGTGTTTTCAGGAGAGTCCCTCAGGAGTGGGATGTTGCTGTAGCCTGCCCTGAGCCCTGGCTCTTGGGCTGCTGCCAGGGCTCTGCCTGTGCCATCTGCAGCAGGTGGAGATGCTTCTGCAGCAATGGAGAGGAACTGAGAGCATGAGGAGGACATTGGTTTAGGCTTTTGGGACAGCGAGCGCTGCTTTCTAGTGACAAACTTTTCCTGCTGCAAGGCTGGAATGCTCTGCCTTCTGGGGAGAGCTGAGCAAGGGTTACAGAGTCACAGGGGGGTGAGGGTTGGAAGGAACCTCTGAAGATCATCTAGATCACCCCTCTGCTAGAGCAAGGTCACCTACAGCAGGTCCCACAGGAACACATCCATGTGGGATTGGAATGTCTCCAGAGAAGGAGCCTCCACGACTTCCCAGAGCAGCCTGTCCCAGGGCTCTGTCACCCCCACAGTGAATCTTTTCCCAGCTTGAATCTCCTGTGCTCCAGCTTGTGCCCATTGCCCCTTGTCCTGCTGTTGGACACTGTGGAAAAGCGACTGGACCCAGGTTGGCCTAAGGATGTTGTACGTGCCTAGAGGATCTCCTGAATGTCCTGCTCAGTTCCTGACCTGCCTCCTTCATCTCCACCCTTTGGCTCTGGCACATGGTTCTCACCCTGCTGCAATTCATCATGCAGCTGTGGAGATACTGGCTAAAAAAAATGGGTGATGAGGACAGGAGGACATGCTGCCTTATGTCCTGAGGTCCAGGGTTTCATACATACTTGAATTTCTAGTGAGAGATGGCAAATGATCCATGTAGTTCATTGGGGCAGCCCTCAATGCTGGTGGTGTTGTGCATTTTCTGTTAATTGTGCACTGGTTCTGCCCTGAACAAAGTCAGCCATGGTGGGGAGACATCCCCCATTTAGCTTTCGGGTGGGAGAAGATGCTAACACCTCTCCTGTGGACAGGCACACGCCAACCTTTGATGTATGTGTGTGAGCACAGCTGCTCCCTTTCAGGGCCAAATACTTCAGGAAGAGCTGAGGTTACTTTTTCAGACGCCACAACTTGAGCAGTGGTAGCTCTCAGGGCAGAGGACACTGATAGTCTCCGATTTCCAACAGGTCTGTGCAATGTTGGACTCTCTTGTCTCAGTGGCCCCATCCCTTTATGCAGGAGGAGCACTAAGGAAAAGCCTCCTGCCTCTACCTACAACCTGCTTTCACAGAGCAGGGGAACATCTTGTCCCATCAGGGTGGTGGCCAAAAAACTTGTTCCTTTTGGAAGCCAGGCCAGGAGGCACTTGGCAGGTGGCTCAGTCAAGCCTGATCTTAAAGGCACCTGAGATTTTGGTCTCTTCCAGTTTGTCAGCCTTATGGAAAGGTTCAGTAGAAGGGAAGACCAGAAGCAGAGCTAGGATTTAGCTTCTTGGTCTGCTGCAGCCTCTGGAGAAGTTCTGGAGCCATATCTTTATTTTGTCTCATTTCCTGGATGAGGTAAGCCAGGGTGAGCTGAGGAATGAGGTCATGCAGATGTGGCCAAACAGCAGTTTCCAGGGCAAGGAGAACATGTGGCAGTGTCTTTCTTAACCATCTGGCTGGCAGAGGCTGCATGGCCCTTCTTTGGAGACTCTACTGGGTCATTTACTGTCTTGCTTGGAGCCTTGGTTGGGTCTGAAGTAGAGATAAGAAGTTCCCCTCCCAAACTTAACTTCTTTGATCCAGAGTATTGCAAAAATTCTTACGAGTGTCCCTTCTTACAAATTGTCCCCACCATAGGGCCCAGCATTCAGATGAGAATCTGTTGCAATGATGATCTGATTCTCTCTTTAAAATGTGTTTGATTTACGATGACAAGGTTAAAACCATGACAATAATATCAGCAGGACATCCCCATGTCTGACTGAACCACATCCACCACTATCTCTGCCTCCCAGAGGTCTTGCACTGGATGCTTTCTAGATGAAATCTCCCCAGGGTTTGTTCTTGGGACACTGATTGGGGTCTTTTTGGTGGTTCCTTGGAATCACACCCTCTATGGGCAGCCTGTCCCAGGGCTCTGTCACCTTCATAGTAAAGAAGTTCATCCTCATATTTAACTGGACCTTCCTGTGCTTCAGCTTGTGCCCATTGCCCCTTGTCCTGCCACTGGGCACTGCTGGTAAGAGACTGGTCCCATCCTCCTGACACCCCCTGTAGATATTGATAATGTTGATGAGATCCCCCCTCAGTCTCCTGAGCAGTGGTAGCTCTCAGGGCAGAGGACACTGATAGTCTCCGATTTCCAACAGGTCTGTGCAATGTTGGACTCTCTTGTCTCAGTGGCCCCATCCCTTTATGCAGGAGGAGCACTAAGGAAAAGCCTCCTGCCTCTACCTACAACCTGCTTTCACAGAGCAGGGGAACATCTTGTCCCATCAGGGTGGTGGCTAAAAAACTTGTTCCTTTTGGAAGCCAGGCCAGGAGGCACTTGGCAGGTGGCTCAGTCAAGCCTGATCTTAAAGGCACCTGAGATTTTGGTGTCTTCCAGTTTGTCAGCCTTATGGAAAGGTTCAGTAGAAGGGAAGACCAGAAGCAGAGCTAGGATTTAGCTTCTTGGTCTGCTGCAGCCTCTGGAGAAGTTCTGGAGCCATATCTTTATTTTGTCTCATTTCCTGGATGAGGTAAGCCAGGGTGAGCTGAGGAATGAGGTCATGCAGATGTGGCCAAACAGCAGTTTCCAGGGCAAGGAGAACATGTGGCAGTGTCTTTCTTAACCATCTGGCTGGCAGAGGCTGCATGGCCCTTCTTTGGAGACTCTACTGGGTCATTTACTGTCTTGCTTGGAGCCTTGGTTGGGTCTGAAGTAGAGATAAGAAGTTCCCCTCCCAAACTTAACTTCTTTGATCCAGAGTATTGCAAAAATTCTTACGAGTGTCCCTTCTTACAAATTGTCCCCACCATAGGGCCCAGCATTCAGATGAGAATCTGTTGCAATGATGATCTGATTCTCTCTTTAAAATGTGTTTGATTTACGATGACAAGGTTAAAACCATGACAATAATATCAGCAGGACATCCCCATGTCTGACTGAACCACATCCACCACTATCTCTGCCTCCCAGAGGTCTTGCACTGGATGCTTTCTAGATGAAATCTCCCCAGGGTTTGTTCTTGGGACACTGATTGGGGTCTTTTTGGTGGTTCCTTGGAATCACACCCTCTATGGGCAGCCTGTCCCAGGGCTCTGTCACCTTCATAGTAAAGAAGTTCATCCTCATATTTAACTGGACCTTCCTGTGCTTCAGCTTGTGCCCATTGCCCCTTGTCCTGCCACTGGGCACTGCTGGTAAGAGACTGGTCCCATCCTCCTGACACCCCCTGTAGATATTGATAATGTTGATGAGATCCCCCCTCAGTCTCCTTCAGGCTGAACAGCCCCAGCTCTCCCAGCCTTTCCTTACATGGCAGGTGCTCCAGTCCCCTCAGCATCTTTCTGGCCCTGCCCTGGGCTCTCTCCAGTAGCTCCTTGTCCTTCATGACCTGGGGAGCCCAGAACTGGATGCAGTATTCCAGAGGTGGCCTCCTCAGGGCAGAGCAGAGTGGGGAGGAGAACCTCCCTCAACCAACTGGCCCTTGTCTCTTCTTGATGCACCCCAGGAGGCCACTGGCTTTCTTGGCCACAAGGGCACATTGTTGGCTCATGGTCAGCCTGTTGTCCACCAGGACCCCAAGGTCCTTTTCCCCAGAGCTGCTCTCCAGCAGGTCAGCCCCCAGCCTGTACTGATATGGATACTCATACGGGGTTGTTCCTCCCCACGTGCAGGACCCACTTGCCCTTGTTGAATATAATTCAGTTTCTTCCTGCCCAGCTCTCCAGCCTGTCCAGTCATGTTGGATGGCAGCACAGCCCTCTGGAGTGTCACCACCCTTCCAGGTTGGTATCATCAGTGAACTGGCTGAGGGAACACTCCATCCCTTCATCCAGCTCATTAATGAATATATTGAACAAGGCTGGACCCAGCACCAGCCCATAGGGGACTCCACTAGAGACTGGTCTCCATGTGGACTCTGCCCCACTTAACCCAAGCTCTCTGAGCTCTATCCTTCAACCAGTGCCCACTCCACCTTCAGAAACTTCCAGTTTCTCTCTGCCTTTTTTTTTTACTTTCAGCACAGCTGGCAGCAAGAATTGGCGTGGGCATGTGGCAGGGGGCTGCTCAGGATTAGGAAGAGTTTACTGGCAAGATTATTGACATAGCAGAAAAATCAGGGGGATATGCTACTGTCCGGAGCTCCTGGCTGGTAGGAGAGGTCTCAGAGTGTTGCTGAATGGCAAAAGAACCCTCAGTGATGCTTTCTCAGGCTCCAAAAGATGCCAGCGTGCAAAACAACAGCTCTGAGAAGTGTGCACAGAGCAGATTTACCACACAGCAACAGGCTTTGAGCATAACAACTTCATTACATCAGCCACCTAGGAATGTGTTAGTTCCTGCATCTTCCCAAGCCACAGACGTTATCTTACTTCATCTCCTGTAGGACAGATCAGGCAGATCAACATTTTGCAATAAGCCAGCGTGCAGCTGGAGTCCCTCCTGGTGCAGTAAAGAGAGGTCTGAAGCATGCAGATTCCTTTCTCCGTGCAGAGGTACCAGTCCTGTCTGCCATGGTTTGCAAACACATTGCAAAATCTCTTCTTGGCCCCGGAGCATGACACAGGAGGGGGTGAGACCCTCTCCGGGCAGGAGAGGTTTTGCTGCAGGGCTGAGTGGTGACAAGCTGCTGGAAGGGGACTTGGGGCACTTGTGCTTTGCTGAAGGTCCTTGGCGAGGTGACCCAGAATTTCAGAGTGCTGCCAGAGCTCAACAGGAGTAAACACAGCAGAAATACACGCAGGTGTCGTGGGAGAAGGGATTATTTCTTGGCTACTGGGTCTTCTGTGTGTGTGCATTTAGCCTTGCTGCCAGAGCCTGAACCCCTGGGAATGGGTGAGAAATCAACCCCAGTGGTGCTGTGTCACCTCTGCCAGCTCAGAATGTTCAGGCAGACTTTTGACAACCTCCCTGCAAAGAAAAACAAATCAAAGGAGGGCTGGAGCACCTCTCCTGCAAAGACAGGCTGGGAGAGTTGGGGGTGTTAGGTGAGAAGGCCCCAAGGAGAACTCAGAAAACCTTCCAGTGCCTGAAGGGGCTCCAGCAAACCTGAGGAGGGACTTTGGACAAGGACTTGTAGCAAGAGGACAAGGGGGAATGCCTTTAAACTGGAAGAGGGGAGATTTAGGTGAGACGTGAGGAGGAAATTCTTCAGTGTGAGGTTGGTAAGACCCTGGCCCAGGTCGCCCAGGGAAGCTGTGGCTGCCCCATCCCTGGCAGTGTTGAAGGGCAGGTTGGATGGGGCTTGGAGCAACCTGTTCTGCTGGGAGGTGTCCCTGCCCATGGCAGGAGGAGTGGAACTGCTTGATCTTTAAGGTCTCTTCCAATCCAGACCATTCTATGGTTCTAGGGTTTTCTTGGCTGTTTTCCCTTTTGTGCCAGATTGCTGCAGTTTGCTGCAATGACTCATGCAAGTTTTAAATGAATTTGTGTTTGCCTCCCTTAGATTAGTCCCCACTGAGATTTTCTTTTGTACCGAGAGCAACGAGATAACAAAAGTGTTTTGTTTCACTTTGTCTTCATCAGGGAGCAACCAACGTGGTTTACCAAGCCCATCATGTCAGCAGGAGTAAGAGAGGACAAGTGGTCGGTACTCGGGGCGGATTTCGAGGCTGCACGGTTTGGCTAACAGGTATGTTTGTCTGGGTGTGAAAGTGTAGCTTCATATGTGAAACCCACTTCCATACATGAGCATGTCTTGGGGATTTGGGATCCACAGAGAATGGCAGCAGTCCCTGTGAGCTGGGAATTGCAAAACATTTACACGTGGGAAACACCAACAACACGGTGCTGGCACTGCAAGAAATTCTCCTTGGCAGCTGCTGCCTGTTACAAATGTTTTTATGAATTTCACAGCTGTTATCAGGCTCCTTTGAACATGTCACAAGCCCTAAGGGTCGCACTTGTTGTTCCCAAGTGTGTGGCTGAGGAAGCCTTGGCTCAAATCCAGCTGGTCCTTGGCAGTGAAACGTGCCCAGGGTTGTCCACAACAGCACGTGGATGTTTTCACTCCGGGTCGGTGCAAAGTTTACCAGGACACTTAGGTTTATCATGTTCAAAGTGACCTTGTCAGCAGCAGGATGACAAGCTCTTGTATGACAAATAAATACTGCCAGGCAGTGAGTTACACTGGAAGCAGCGCTTCCTTGCACAGCCATGAGAGGTTTCTTACATTAATTCTCATTTTGTTTGCCTCCCAGTGTGGTGCCCTTCTCTCCTGCTTAAAAGTCATAGAATATGCTGAGTTGGAAGGGACCCATCAGGATCATCAAGTCCAACCCCTGTCCCTGTGCAGGGCACCCCAAGAATCACCCCATGGGCCTGAGAGCATCATCCAAACACTTCTTGAGCTCAGGCAGGCTTGGTGCTGGGACCACTGCCCTGGGAGCTTGTTCCAGTGGGTGAAAAAACTTTTCCTGATATCCAACCCAAACCTCCCCTGATTCAGCTTCTTATTGTCATTGTTTGGGGATTAGGGGCTGCTAGAAATGACAACAGCATTTCTTTTGCTCCACTAATATTTACACAACTCTGTCATCTACCATTTTTCCAGTTGTTTCTTTGCTTGTTAAATATTGGGATTTTCTCCAGCTGCCAGAAGATGTTGAAAGACAAACTTGGAAGGGTTTGTAAAGCCCTTTACAAAGTTCTGATTTGCCTTCATATCAGCTTATGTGCTCCATGTTGGATTAAAACACATTTCTGTTTTCCTGTCCTCTTTAATTACTAAAAGCCAATGCCTAATCTGCTTTTGTATAACTTCTGAAGCCAATAAACCTATCCAAGAGAATTTCCTTGTTTTTTGAATATCAAAGATCCTGTGTCTGAACAGTTTGAGCTTCTCTGGCTGATGATTATTCTTTGAAATAGACAATGGGCTCCTAACTTTCTATCAGTTTAATTTTAAGAGACTGTAATGAAGGGTGTTTCATTGCATGAACTGTATGGATTGAGCGGAAGGGCATTTGAATGCCCTACACGGCCAGCTTAGGGGAGCTCTCTGAAGACCCAGCCAGCAGGATTCATCTCCGCCCACCCAGGTTTCCGCTCCAGCACAAACACAGCTCTTCAGCATCAGACCAAAGGTCCACCTCATGCAGGGTCTTGTCCCCAGGAGTGGCCATTAGTAGGTGTCATGCAAAGGGCATAAAAACAGGCAAGCAGATGATGCTACCTCCATAGGAGATTCTCCAAGGCTGTGTTTCCTGAGACAGGTGTGGTGTTTGGAGGTTTTTATCCTTCCTAAGCCAAGGTCCTCTTCCATCTCAAGGAGTTTTCAACACATGGTTCCGCACCCAAAGCAAAGGAGGAGTTTGGTGCTCCAGGTACACTTGCTCCTTTCCAACACAGCCAGTAAAAAATACTTGTTGTGCAAGTGAATGGAGGTGGGATGGGAAGCAGCCACCTTGTTTGGGATTGGTGCCCTTCTGGTTGATGGCTCCAGGAGACACAGGCAGCTGAAGATGCCCTGCTTGTCTGCACAACCACCCTGCTCCTGCTGGCACAGGTCTGTGGGTGCTGCTCCTGCAGATGGAGGTGTCTGTGGATGCAGAGGGGCAATTGCTGCTGCTGGAGCCTGTCCCACCCTGCACAGCTGTGGCAAGAACCTCTCCTTGGGTTCAGCCTGGGAGAACAGTTGGCTGTTCAGAGGGTCAACAGGAGGAGGAAGAGGAGCGAGTGACTTACAGGCAACAGCATCGGTTCCAACTTTGCCTGCTGAAGTACCTGTTCATCCCATCAAGAGGTACTTCTTCAGGGCTGCTGAGTTGAACCCCTCCAGATGTTGGGAGGGTTAGCCAGGACTCTGGTGGGTAGCAGAGCCTCATTCCTTCCTTAAGCAACATCAGACAGAAGGAGTTTTGTTGCCAGTGTCCCAGGAGGTGTTCCTCGCACTGTCATTTTTGCTCTTTCGACCTCAAACCTGAGGCTCACTTCTTCTCTCTCTCCAACAGGCCTCTCTGGAGCTGGCAAGACAACCATTGGCTTTGCTCTGGAAGAGTACCTGGTCTCCCACGGCATCCCCTGCTATTCCCTGGATGGGGACAACGTTCGGCACGGCTTGAATAAAAACCTGGGCTTCTCCCCCGGGGACCGCGAGGAGAACATCCGGCGCATCGCCGAGGTGGCCCGGCTCTTCGCTGACGCGGGGCTGGTCTGCATCACCAGTTTCATCTCTCCTTTTGCCAAGGTGAGCTCCGTGCTGCTCTGCTCTTGGCAGCTTTGGTCTCCTGACGGTTCCTGGGGAGGAGAGATTTATGTAGAGGACTTGTTATACAAGCCATCAGAGACTCCTCTTAACTTCTCCACTCGTTTGTACGACAGCAGCGGTGCGCGGAGCCACATGCACCCAGAACCAAGGCACAGGGTGGTGGGGTTGGAAGGCACCTCTGAGGATCATCCAGTCCAGAGCAGGGTCACCTACAGCAGATCCCACAGAAACACATCCCAATGGGTCTGGAATGTGTCCAGAGAAGGAGCCTCCACACCCTCTCTGGGCAGCCTGTCCCAGGGCTCTGCCACCCTCACACTCAATCAGTTTTTCCTCATGTTTAACTTGAACCTCCTGTGCTCCAACTTGTGCCCATTGCCCCTTGTCCTGTCCCTGGGCACTATGGAAAAGAGACTGGCCCCATCCTCCTGACACCCCCTGCAGGTATTTGTGAGTGTTTATGAGTTCTGGGAGGCAGTTTGACGTGACCTTCTTGAATATGTTCCATGTTGCAAAGTGATGAAAAGCTACAAGAATGTTAAAATCTCCCCTCCAGAGGTTCCTACTATTAACTTGTTAGAAGGCAGAAAAAAGGCACAGAAACAATGGCCTGCCATAGTGCTGTCCCTGCTCTGTTTGAAGAAGTACTGATTGTAGTTTTATGCTTCCTGAGGGTGCCAAGTAGCTGCTGTTATCAAGCCCATGCCAGCAGTTCCTTCTTTATACACAGGGTAGATAATGATTCACAGTCTAAAATCCTGCTGTCATGCTCAGCTTGATGTTTCAGATGGAAAAAGCTGAAAACAGATCAAAACTATAGATTTTTTTTTTCTAGGTGTCCTTAAAGAACAGAGGGAAAGTGAGATGGGAAAAAAAACACCTTATTAGAATTAGTGTGAATGTAATAAATCCATACCAGAGATTAAGTTACCAGTGTCAAAGTCCAGGGCATGTCAGGGAGCTGGGAGGTGCTTGCTGCAATTCAGACACATAAGATTTTCCTCTCTTCCTTCTAACAGGATCGTCAAAATGCACGCAAAATTCATGAGGCAGCTGGACTTCCTTTCTTTGAAATCTTTGTAGATGCTCCTCTCAATATTTGTGAAAGCAGAGACGTGAAGGGCCTGTACAAGAAGGCAAGAGCTGGCGAGATCAAAGGTATGGAAGAGCAAGCTCTTGTTTTGCCTTTTGCTTCCTGAAGCGCTGGATCGGTTGTCGCGGCTGCTCCGTGCACAGAAGTGGGTTCTTGGAGGCTCTTAGTGGTGCTCAAGAGTATTCTGTTGCCCTGGCTCGAGTGTCACTCATAGTACCCAGTATGGCTGAGTCCTTCCTGGCTGTTTGAACAACATTCTTGGCTCTAGGGCACCAAGTATTAGTTGAAATAAATTTAGTTTGGGTTTAATTGTCCGTAGGATTCACGGGGATTGACTCAGAGTATGAGAAGCCTGAATCTCCTGAGCTAGTGTTGAAAACCAATGTTGCGTCGGTGTCTGAATGTATTCAGCAGGTTGTGGAGCTCCTACAAGCACAAGTAGGTCATTTTTATACCAGCTTGTAAAACTGCTTTTGGAGACTGACTTTTTGGTGTGCATCTGTAAAGCTGCATGTTTCTTAGAGTTGCTGTCTGTCTCTCTCTTCCAGAACATCGTCCCCCACAGCTCCATTAAAGATGTTCTTGAGCTGTTTGTACCTGAAAACAAACTCAGTAGTGTCCGAGCTGAAGCAGAGATGCTGCCATATGTAGAGATCACTAAGGTATGGTTGTGCACAGGTGCTGTGCTGTGATTCACTCACTGTTCAGCTCTTCCAAGGATAGGAGCTTTGCTGATGGCTGCATTTGAGAACCATGGAGTTGCTTGGTTTGGAAGGGACTTAAAGACCATCCTGCCTGAGCAGGGGCACTTCCCACTAGACCAGGTCATGTTCTTCTGTGGCTGTGGCTTATGGAGAGGGGTGGTCATGGTCCTCAGCCATTTTTTGCTGGGTCTCCACCCTGTTCTGCAGCAAGCCAGGGCATCACCCTCCTTTCCTGTGTGTGCGCAGCCTCCCGAGCACATGGGCCGTCAAAATACATCAGTCTGGCTTAAAAAAACCCCAAACCACACACACACACACACACACACCCCCCATGGCCAGGGAAGCAACCTCTGAGTGTGGCCTGGTGACAGGAGTGCCACTTTGGTTTGTTTTGCAGCTGGATCTGCAGTGGGTACAGGTGCTGAGCGAAGGCTGGGCCACCCCGCTGACTGGCTTCATGCGTGAGAAGGAGTATCTGCAAGTCATCCATTTTGGGACCCTGCTGAATGGTACGGACCCCCCAGGCCCCCACCCCACAGAATCTACTACATCCTGCCCAAACACCCAGGCCATCTTGTCTTCCTCCTGTCCTCTGGCCTGTTAAATGGGAGGGTGAGGAGGCCGTGCTCTGGAACACCCCCGCGGGGACCTCACAGCTCTGACACCTCATGTGGTGCCCATCGAATATTTTGGCAGCCATAGAATTCCAGACTGGTTTGACCGGAAGGGACCTTAAAGATCACTTAGCTCCAACCCCCCTGCATGGGCAGGGACACCTCCCACCAGCCCAGGCTGCTCCAAGCCCCATCCAACCTGCCCTTCAACACTGCCAGGGATGGGGCAGCCACAGCTTCCCTGGGCAACCTGGGCCAGGGTCTCACCACCCTTATAAAATTTCTCCTTTATATCTAGTCTGAATCTACCTTCTTTTAGTTTAAAACCATCACCCCTTGTCCTGTTGCAACAGGCCCTACTAAAAATTCTGTCCCTACCTTTCTTACAATCCCCCTTTAAGTACTTGAAGACCAGAAAAAAGTCTCCCCAGAGCCCTCTCTTCCCAGGCTGAGAGAAGTGCTTCTCCAGGCCATTGTGTGCTCTTTTCATGCTTGGCTATAGCAGGGTAAATAAAGGTGCAGACCCAAAGCCAAGTGAGCTGGGAGGCTGCCAGGCTGCTCTTGAGGCAGGAGAAGGCAGCTGTTCCTTGGAAATGGGAGCAGAGCCTCTTTGAATCTTTCCCCCCATTTTCCTGCTTCTCTGTTACCATAACTTGAAATAAATCAGATGTTTCTGTCCCATTTCTCAGCTGCAGGTGCCAAAGCTGTGACTTCAACAAGTCCTGCAGACCTGACAGAGGTCTCTGGCCTGGGGGTCTGGGGTCTTGGTGAGAGAGTCCCTTTGGGTCTTGCCCTCCTTCCAGAGAATCCCATGGACACCCAGAGAGTCCTTGCTGCTTTTTCCAGGATCTGGGCACTGTGCAGCAGATGCAGAGCTCAGGAGTGCTGGCTTTGGGCTGGAGGAGTGTCTGGGAGGGGGTTCTGCTTCCAGACACCTTCTAGGTGGCCTTTCACCCCCCGCCTAGTGTGTAAACAGTGTTGAGAAGCACGTGTCCCTGTTATCAACCCCTGGGCCATGGTCTTTGAGCTGCCTGCTGAGCATGGAGAGGTCACAGAGGTGCCCTTTAATGACCACGTTGCTCTGGAGCTCCGCACTTTGTGCTGGAGTCGCACCTCAGAGACCTCCCCCAGACCTGTCAGCATCACTGAGCACAGGTCCTTCGGAGCCCATGGGTGTGTGTTCAGGGTTTGTAGAGCTCTGCAGCAGGAGGAACAAAGCCCAGGACACCTGCTTTTGGCAGTGATGAACTCTCCAGAGCAAGGTCTTTGCAGCAGAGTGCATCATAATCAGTCCTTGGTCCACCTTGTCTCCACGGAGGGCTCCAAACTCAAAATCTCTGTGGTCAGGCCTGTAGAGTGACATCTGGGCAGGAAGGAGGACATCCCTGCTTCTCTTGCATCACCTCCAGGAAACAGGGGACGGTTTCTATCTCATGGTGCCAAAGCTGAGGTGTGTGTTGCCAAGGAGGAGTTTGAGGCTGGTATTTCTGGAGTCAGTGGTCCAGCCCTTCTGCTCTCAGGTGCAAGTTTTTTGGCAGCTCCAACTGTGCCTGGAAGGGCTGTGATCCATTTTGGTGGACTTGTGCAGGTTAGTGCTCCAACACTGAGCAGTAAATCCCACCATGATGGTACCAACAGCTGGGTGGATGAGGTGCTTTGTGGAGATGGCCTCCAGGATGAAAGGTGGTTCTGCAACACCATGCGGGACCTGGGCTGTGCCTGCCTGCAGCCAGGTGGTGCTTGCAGAGCTTCAGCCTGGGTGGCTTTGGTGCTTGGAATGGCTCCTGAAACTGGTGCCTGTGAGTGTTAATTACCTTAATTGTGTCTGTGTTCTCCTAGGAAGGAATCGCTCTGTAGCTGGTATGTATCTAACTCTTTTTAGGTTGTACAGAAATTACTTCCTTTTAGATCATGTCTGTAGGGGGGGTTGCCATAAGGTAAGATTTTTGTGATTTAAAAACAAAAATTAAAAAAAAATCATGAAGACTAGACACAACCATGGCCTGTTTATGGTTCCCCTGGGTACAAAGCAGCCGGACACACCCCGTGTCCTACCAACTGGTCTTCACAAAAGCCCTCCTTTTGGAGCTGCCTTCACTGGAGTGGTGGTTGGGTTGGTTTTTACCTCTGCATCTTGTGTTCGGAAACTGAGACCCTCAGCTCCAGCATCATTTGTGGGCTTCATAATCCAGCTTTTTTCCATGCAGATTTGATTGGCTGATCACTGGTTAAGGTAATTCAAATGTATCAGGTTGATATTGATTGGATCCCGTGTGACTCCAGTCCTGATTACTCATGAAGGTGCTTGAAAATCACTGGCAGATGAGTGAATCCTGGTTGTGAATTGAAAGTAAATGCAAACCCTTTAACAAACATTTTTTTTAAAAATCAGTATCATAGTAAAAAATCCTCAAATTAAGACTCTCAAGGGTCCAAAATTATTTTGGTCTGATCAGAACAAATTGAATCCCTGATTTCTTTGTTCTTGTTTGTGAATGGAAATTCATGGGAGAGACTAATTCTGTTGTGTTATTAACACTGGGCTATCCAAAGAGAAATGAGAAGGCCTCAACTGGGAAATTTGGGATAAAACCAAGGTGACTTTGAGGCTTTTAGGGACAGCCCTGAAATTAGGAACCATCTGTGCAAATGTAGAGACAGAAAATAGAGTAATAATGGACTCTGGAGAGGTGAAAAGCAGGAAGAGGAACAGTAATATAGAGGTATCCAGAGAAAACCCAAAGCAACAAAGCAAGGTGTGATGCTGCTTTCCCTGCTGGAAGGGACAGTGCAGGGAATGAGATGCCCAGAGGAACACCAAGCTGGAGCCATCTTAAGAGGACTTGTTCTCCTGGCAGAGGAGGTGGAGGTTGGATCCAGGGTTGCACTTTCCAAGGGCACTTAAAATTTTCTAAGAGATTTACAAGCAGCTCACTGGGGAAGAACCAGTCTTTCCATGGAGATAGGGAGTGCAGAAAGTAATGAAAGGCTCCAGGTGTCTTTGAGACATCTCTGGCCCAAGGGTGAGGAGCCACTGAAGTCCCCAGGTAAGAGTGGAGCAGAGAAGAACAGGGCAACGGATAAATGCACAGGATGGATGGTGAATCCCTGAGATGGTCCTGGAAATCAAGGCTCTCCCAAGGGACAGCGTGTGTCCCTGCAGCCCAGCGTATCCCAGACCAGTGCCTGAGGCTCGGGGACGTTCAACTCCTGCCCTTCTCTTGCCAGATGGTGTGGTCAACCTGAGTGTCCCCATCGTGCTGCCCATCAGCAGGGAGGACAAGGAGCGGCTGCAGGGCTGCGCAGCGCTGGCACTGGGTGTTGGGGGGCAGCGCGTGGCCGTGCTGAGGGACCCCGAGTACTTCGAGCACAGGAAGGAGGAGAGATGTGCCCGCGTCTGGGGCACCACCTGCACCCAGCACCCCCACATCAAGGTGGGTTTGGCCCACTCGCTGCTCAGGGACACCTGGCCTGGGTGGGAGATCTGGGCTGGGCTGGAGAAAGGGACCTCACGTAGGTGTTGAGGGGCAGAGGAACCTTCAAGCGAGTCCAGAGCAGCCATGGAGATGATCAGGGGACTAGAGCAGCTCTCCAGACAGGCTGGGAGAGTTGGGGTGTTCAGCCTGGAGAGGAGAAGGCTCCAGGGAGACCTTAGAGCACCTTTCAGTGCCTGAAGGGGCTCCAGGAAAGCTGGGGAGGGGCTTGGGACAAGGACATGTAGCAAGAGGCAAGGTGTAATGGCTCTAAACTGGAAGAGTTAGGTCAGACATTAGGAAGAAATTCTTCACTGTGAGGGTGGTGAGACCCTGGCCCAGGTTGCCCAGGGAAGCTGTGGCTGCCCCATCCCTGGCAGTGTTGAAGGGCAGGTTGGATGGGGCTTGGAGCAGCCTGGGCTGGTGGGAGGTGTCCCTGCCCATGCAGGGAGTTGGATCTAGATGATCTTTAAGGTTCCTTCCAACCCAAACCAGTCTGGGATTCTGTGATTGACTCCATGACCATGGATGTCCACTCTGCTCTCCAAGACCAACTCCTCACTGGGAACCATCATGTCCCAAGCAGGCAGGACAGGGTCTTTAGGCTTGCAAGCAAATGCTGGTCTCACTTAGCAGGATCATCAGGTGTTCAGCCTGGAGAGGAGAAGGCTCCAGGGAGACCTTAGAGCACCTTCCAGTGCCTGAAGGGGCTCCAGGAAAGCTGGGGAGGGGCTTGGGACAAGGACATGTAGCAAGAGGCAAGGTGTAATGGCTCTAAACTGGAAGAGTTAGGTCAGACATTAGGAAGAAATTCTTCACTGTGAGGGTGGTGAGAGCCTGGCCCAGGTTGCCCAGGGAAGCTGTGGCTGCCCCATCCCTGGCAGTGTTGAAGGGCAGGTTGGATGGGGCTTGGAGCAGCCTGGGCTGGTGGGAGGTGTCCCTGCCCATGCAGGGAGTTGGATCTAGATGATCTTTAAGGTTCCTTCCAACCCAAACCAGTCTGGGATTCTGTGATTGACTCCATGACCATGGATGTCCACTCTGCTCTCCAAGACCAACTCCTCACTGGGAACCATCATGTCCCAAGCAGGCAGGACAGGGTCTTTAGGCTTGCAAGCAAATGCTGGTCTCACTTAGCAGGATCATCAGGCAGCAGGTGCCAGTGAGGGGGACACTGAGGGTGCTGCTGAGGAGCTGCTCCTGTCATCCTCACCAGTGCCTCCATCCCAACACTTTCAGCACAGCCACCAGCTGAGCCCTCAGAGGTTTCCTGTGCTTAGGGAGTGATTATCTCAGTGGTGCTGCCAAACATGAATGCTGCAGATGACAGAGTCCTGCCCCTTTTAGCTGCCTTTTGCTCCTCAGTGTGCCTGTTTCACACAGGCAGCCACCAGAGGTGATAGAATTTTTCAGCCCATCGCTTCCCACTTGCTCATCATTCCTTAGGAAGAGCTCCAGATTGCACTGAGTGACTTGAGCTGCCTGCTTAAAGAGAACAAAGCCAAATCAGTTATTTTCCCCTACCTTAAAATACCCCTTTTCTTGTTTTAGCAGCAATTGCTCACCTGCACAGAACCATAGAATGGTTTGGGTTGGAAGGACCTTAAAGATCATCCAGTTCCAACCCCCCTGCATGCACCTCCCACCAGCCCAGGTTGCTCCAAGCCCCATCCAACCTGCCCTTCAACACTTCCAGGGAGGGGAACTGTGCAACAGGCTTATTCCTCCTGCATATTCCCAGGAGGAAGGAGCAGAGAGTGAGGTGGAGGAAGGTCTGGTGCCATAACTTCTAGAGGAGCCCAGCACCCAGCTGTGTGCAGGGGTTGGGTCTCAGTGGCTCTACAAGGTGGCACTGCTCATGGTGTGCAGCTCATGTAGTCACTGTAGGAATGTTTTCCTCCTTCATGTGCTGAATGAGAAGGGAAGATCACCCTACCAGCAGAGTCAGGCCTCACACTTTTCAAATAAGACTGGGAAAAGGAGATCTCTTGCTGTCCCCTCCGCAATGCACTTGTGGGTCATTCACAGATGGTGATGGAGAGCGGAGACTGGCTGGTTGGTGGAGACCTCCAAGTGCTGGAGAAGATCAAATGGAATGATGGTCTGGACCAGTATCGCCTGACACCACTCACTCTCAAGCAGAAGTTCAGGGAGATGAACGCAGGTGAGTGCCCTGAGTTAGCACTGGGGACACCTCTCCTGGAGCCAGGCTGGGAGAGTTGGGGTGTTCAGCCTGGAGAAGAGAAGGCTCCAGGGAGACCTTAGAGCACCTTTCAGTGCCTGAAGGGGCTCCAGGAAAGCTGGGGAGATGCTTGGGACAAGGGCAGGGAGAGGCGGAACAACAGGAAATGGTTTCAAGCTGGAAGAGGGGAGATTGGGGTGAGACATGAGGAGGAAAATCTTCACTATGGGGGAGGTGAGACACTAGAACAGGTTGCCCAGGCAAATTGTGGCTGCCCCATCCCTGGAAGTATTCCATGCCAGGCAGGAGGGGGCTTGGAGCAGCCTGGTCTGGTGGGAGGTGTCCCTGCCCATGCAGGAGGAGATCTAGATGATCTTTGAGGCCCCTTCCAACCCAAACCAGTCTGGGTTTCTGTGATTCTATGACACATCTCTTCTTTCCCT